ATGGCATTCGCATCGCTATTTTTTCTCCTCGTCAATTGCAAGACAAAGTCAGCGGGTTAATCCTGTGCTCGTTCGTTTCGTTCGTCAGCCGTCAAATAAATAAGACGTGACAACTGATAGGATAGATACGTGAAATTATCATCGGCGAATTGATAAGGCGAGTCTAAGGACCTACCAGTAAATTCGATTGTGTTAATGTACATTAGGATTGCCGCATGAAACTACAATAAGGATCCATGAAATGTACTGCAACTGGAGAATCAAATTACCACCAATAATTTATATATACTGTGACGACACTTTTTAACGGTGACGCACAAATAAATGGCACCGCGAGAAATAATTAATGAAATACTAAATTATTGGGCGCCAGGTATAACCAGAGTTACACCGCTGTCTCCTAAGGACACCCTGGCCAGCTCTTATGCGGTGGGGTCCTGGGTCTGGGAGACAATAATCAAAATCTGAAAATTAGGGAGGTTCACTCTAAAAATTACTGAAAACGACAAACTATCGGAACCAAAATTCGGGGACGGATCCGATTTATTTTAAATAGAAAATATAAGAACAAGATGGTGAAATACAAATGATAATTACAGAAAACTGATCGAGATGATGCATAACACACTGGGATATTTACCCGAACGATATTATACAATAATGTTCCCGCTGGAACAACGCAACATAAAATACGATATAACAAACGGTACGGTAACGATAATAAACGGTACGATAACGATAATAAACGGTACGATATTGACTCACGCACCCATGCCGGAAGGCGGGGATCACATCCACCTCTACTCCCTCGATATTCGGCGTCACGCCACTTCTGCAACTCCTGTATGCCCTTTGCTTCTGAAGAGGCTCGCCGCTTGCTTCGCGTAGTTGAGCCACCAGGTTGTGTGCTCCGGTCTTGACGTCACCTCTCCTCGACAGCGCTACGCCAGGCCCGTAGTTGGCTCTCTCTTGGGCCCCGTCTCAATACCAATGGTGTAGAATCCTCTCGGATCCGCTTAACAACCTCAAAAACAAACGAAACGTTCCCCCCAAAGAAATAAATACAAATTCGTAAAATAAAATCAGTCCAACGCCACGCGAAACGCTCCGCAACCCATCCGGCCCCACGACGTAGCCGAATTCTCCTAATTTTGTGACGTGCATGAAAATGCCACGTCACAATACATGTATATGCAAATAATAAGTTACATTACAACCTTCACTTTTTAAGGTATTCTAAATGAAGGTGAAATAAGTTCATTTGCAAAAAAAAAAAGGAAATTACATGAGTACGTCGGTTCGCTACGTGTTTCTTTTTCTACTCGCCCCTCTCCTTTCTTCCCGTCTCGTCATCTTTTTTTTCGTTTGCCTCCCGTCCCTTCAGGTTGGCCACTTATTTCCGTTTCATTTCGCCGCGCTACGTCGACGTGCCGTATTCAAATTAAGCATTAAAATAGAAAATGTTTTCTATCCGACAATCTCAATCCTTTCTTTTTGCTCCTCGTGTTCCTTCTGCTTTTTTGCCCTTTGTCTTTCGCGCTGCTGAAGTTTCTCTTTTTAACAATTTTCCACCATTTTTCTCATCCGTTCGTTTCCTGCTATGCAGGATATGTAAATGAGTATTTTCCTGCCTTCCAGAAATCCGATATCGTTTATTCCCATTTGAAACTCGACGAATATTTACGTGAATATCGTATGGCTGCATGTAGATGACATTAATGCACGTGTAAATATAGACGTGAGAGACGTTGCTATGCGGTACTCGAAAATATGAAAACGTGAAAAATCTGTATAACTTTGTTTTTCGTTCCTCGTATAGCCGTATAGCAATGATAATCTAACGGGTGACTCTGTAACTGGTCGACTTAACAAACTATTAGAAGTAATTAGATCCGCGTCCAGTAAATTAAACGACTCGACGACGACAACGAGTGGGAACGTTTAAACGCTCTTTTATCTAGATTACCAACCTACGAGCATGAAAGAGAGGCGAACTAATTAAAGGACAACTATTCCAAAGTTTCGCGTGCACGGATGTCGAACGGAACTGACGCTCCAGGCATCCTCATCCTGTCGACCCTTGGACTTCCATTTGGGACTTTGCACAAAGAACCCTGCATACTTGTGCCTAAAATACAACGTGAGAAATTCTGTCAACTATATCAAATATTCAAATTATCTATTACTGTTTTTAAGCACTCGCGTATATTATTAAGATAAATAAGACTTAATTTCAGTCCAACGTCTGCTACAAGTTGAAGTGACTTACTTGTATTTGAAAACCATATTAAGATGGCCCTTAAAAAGCGTATCAATGTCACGATTTAATATATGAAAAGCTGTTAACGAATAATTGGCTAACAATAAATCCTGTTATAGTTCATCCATGACTGAAATTAGGTCTAGGGAACTCCTGTGCATTTAAACCTACAGAAAGTTGACCCCGCCAAAATACATAGTAGTCCCGGATAAACTATACAGCCAAAATTCAAGTTTTGGCCTCATGAGAGTCTCTGAATACGAGGAACACAACCAGCGGATATCCGGTGATGCAATTTCCTGCCTTCCTCATGCTACACTGCCAAAGTCAAGCGCTCCTCTGTAGGTTATGTCCTCGCGAATGTCTCAAACGAAACCAACACCATTTCGTTTTCATCAGCGTCCCGTGACCGGATCCGAATATAGCCTTTTCAATTTACATTTCCTAATTCAAATTTATCGCGACTAAGTTATATAATAATTCAAAATATTTGCTTGTATGGAATGGGAGGAACATACAAGTTATACACTCTGGAGAAACATACTATATACAGAGAATCGACATTTTTTATTTTTCATTTTTTTCTATATAGAAAACAGAAATATAAGTACACTCGACGTATCTATGAAAGCACTCATCATTAAGTATACAGGGTGGTCCATTATAAACCGAAAACCTGAATATCTCTTTTATTTGTGAGGATCCGAAAAAAAACCTTAAAAAATAATTCGAATGGTTTCGAAGCGCAAATACGCTGCAAAGAAATTTTGTTTTATGGGCAGTTACGATCAGGAAATGTTTTCCTTTATAAATATACTGCATCCTTCAAACAGTGTATACTTTTATCATAAATGTGAATCACATAGATTTCGTCTTTCTACGAGTAATAATGCATGTTAGTATTCACGCGCGACTTATCCCTTGTGACCCTGAAACCGAATGACTCGAATAAAATAATTTGCAACAATTCAAAATCGTCATTTTGAAAATTTGCGAATACCAATATCTTACGCATCATTGAAATTAGTCATTCTCATTATTAACTCACTTCTCATAAAAAAAATATATATATATATTTCATAAAAAAATAAATTAATACCTGCTTGATAACTCTAAAAAAATTATTTCAACAAAATAATTTTTGCATTAGATTCGCTCTTTAAAATCACTCACATCATGTTTTAAACATTTTTCTCGACTGTGCACAAAAAAAAAAAAGGATATATTCAGGCGTTCAATTTCTAATGGACCACCCTGTATATGTATATAACTACATTTTATGTTCACTTGTATCGAAGCGTACCAAGAGATAAGAGAACAGTACCGTTAGTGCACTCGTCATGTACAGTATTATTCAGTGTAAACGCACCGACCGAAAATTGTTTCTGCCATAGAAATCATACGAACAGGCTATATCTTCAGCCGGTACGTTTGGCCTGAATAACCCTGTACGTATATATATACAAAACTATATATACATATATATACATATATATACATATGTGAACCTCCTTTGATCTCTGTACGACCTGGCCCTTGCTCTCTGATTGTCACGGTGGATTTCCCACACACGAAGCATCGAAATCAATTTAATGTTGTTTCATTACGAGCACACTTATTCCTTGCACTGTGAATCATCAACTACATGTGACTATTCGCGAACACACGTGCCATGTTTACTTCGTGAGACTCTCTCTGGGAGAACTGACGAAAATTGATCCAGTAGCCGCACGCGAAATGTTCCCATTATCATGTTAAACTTTGTGTTATAAAGTTCTGAGCCTGTAGATCCTCCAGCTGGAAAACTAGCTGTCCGCCCACGTTTCAATTGACTACACTGTGACTTCCTCAGTCGAAAGAATCTTGACATCTAATACCTGCAGGAAATGCACGTAACTTGTACATACTTTTAACTCGCGACTGTGAACCTGGCAGAAGGCAGACACAGAAGAGGAGTTTGCGTTTTAGAAAGCAGACCTTGACAACGGGATCTTACAGGTACATATGTTTTTTTACATACACAAAAACATCGTTTTAAAAACCGAAGAAAAGATTTCTGAAATAATCGATTTTTGCAAAATAAAATTCAAAGATACCTATCAACCTCGAGCCGCTGTCGTTGACGACGCCTATTAATTTCCGCGTAAAGATTACGTAATATTGAGACGCAAGAAACATCTCTTCGGATTGATAAAGATAAATTAATAATAGCAAATAAAGGACAGGACGACGTTAAAAAAAAAAAAAAAAAAAAAAAAAAAAAAAAAAAAAAAAAAAAAAAAAAAAAAAAAAAAAAAAAAAAAGTAATAGAGAACAAGCTGTAACTACAGTTAGAGGATCAGCAGGTAGTATAATCCTGTAAATGCAGGCGACGCTGCGAGTCGCGTAATTATTTCTCGCAAGAAGGGATGGGGTGGACCATTATCGGGTCGACGTCGGGATCTTGAAATCGTCGTCGACGCTACCCGAAGGCTACGACGAGAGCGTCTCTAGGTTCTGGTACGTTTCCAAAGAGCCGGGTGAGGTCCTGACGTTAAATTCAAGAAGCGTCAGCGTATTCAAGCTGCGCCCCCTCCCGCCCTCTTCTCACACTCTCCCGCTCTATCTCCGTCTCACTATCTCCCTTTCTCTCTTTATTTCCGAACGCGTCTATTGCACAATAGCACTGCGTCACATCGAGGACGTCTCTAACTCGCAACACACGTGCGCGCGCACGCTCGCCCACTCGCTCGCTACTCACCTTGGGTTTCCACGAAGAGCTGCATGGTGCAGAGCATTGAAGCCATTGTTGTTCGTGCGAGTGATGTCTGCTGCATGGTCCAACAGTAGGGCCAACATGTCGTCACGTTTCTTGGAAATCGCATCGTGTAACGGAGTGTCACCCTCTGAGTCCTAGAGAGAGATAGAGAAAGAAAAAAGCTGTTAATCTATATAAAAGCATTAATAGTCCGTATAATATTTATAACCGTATAGAAAATTAATCGTATACAATATATACAGGTACAAGATATGCATAATTTTGGTAAAATCGAAAAAATCATACAACTTTATCACGAGGTCAAGCTTTCAATGCAAAAAGTGGTATTGCATAATTGGATTGCATGCAATAGCAAATAAAATTTTGTTATCAGCGATCATACCCTTTCTTTTATTTATACCCTCAATATATTAGGCTTTTAATATCTGCAATTGGTTCGAGCTAATGATAAGAATGAACGTAAATAATTGCGTCTTTATAGACACGGTAGCGTTCGTAGTACCTGCGCTGTATACTATATGCTATTACGTATATGTTCGTAGGTCCTACCCTGGTATAGGGAGGAGTCGTTACTGTTTAAAAAGCATTGTTGACCTCTTTTCCATATATTGATAGAAACTATACGCAATTAACGCATTAGTTCTCGGTGATTCCAAGGGGTATGGTTTCGAGAGAGTCATCTTTACTCTCTACTTTAATTTTAACTTTGCTTTTTCTCCTCACCTTTCACCCTATTCTTCCTCACGGCAATCCCTTCATTGATATGCCTTTGGATGAGCTTTAAGCCTCACCGCGACATCACTCGAGGAGTTTCTATTGCAGTGTTCACGGAACGAGTTCTCATGTGTACACATCCATGTGTTTAAAGCACAGGCCTGTGGTATTAGTGCCGAATAGAAAGTGCAACGCTTTGTTCGTTTATAAATTTTGAATTTATTTTTTTATCAAATATATTCCCTTTCAAGTGTTTCCCTTTCAAGCTATTACGTGCGCAACTGAAATGCTACGTGGAAAATAAATTTATTAATATCCCATAAATTTTCGCGAATGCAGCAACGATTGTTGTTAAAAAATAATTAATCCCACTCGTACCGTTCGTCGCATAGTTTCGCGAAATTTTCGTCATTATTTTTGTTCTCGTCAAATTTACATTTTATATCGCACATATGTGCATGCGTGCCCTTGCGTAATTAATCAAGGACCATTAATTATTATCCCCACGTATAGTCATACGTGTATGCATATACGAAGAGACGGCGAACACTGCTGGCGAAAAAGCGACAATAACGAAAACAAATTTACACGCCGATCGATGGCTGTGGATACAGACTCTTTCGAAAACAACGTGTCGAGTGGGAAAAAAAAGGAGCTTGATATATTGGAGGGTGAAGGATTACTCGGTTGAAGTAAAAAGTAGGGCGGACATGCTGTGCGTGGACATAGAATCGATATGGATTTCGATTGAATTTCAGAGTAAGATACTAGAATGAAAAGTGATACTTGATAGCAGAGGAAAAAAATAAAGTGTAAACGGAATCGATAGTGATGTAGAATTGAATGGACACGGCGGTACAATCAATTAATTAATCAGTGCCAATGCACTTGGCTTAACAAACAAACGGGACATTGTGCCAGTAGACCATTTCACAAAGGATCAGACGCACACTGGATACACGAGTACAGATTCTATTTACAGGAACGGCGTAGTAGCACTTGTACCGTACTGGGATGGTGTCATTACACTTCCTATTGGTAATAGAAACTATAGAGAAATTCAATGCAGAAACAGTCAGACGGATAGCAGGCAGTTTCGAATAAGATAACGAAACAGATAAATAGAAAGATAAATCTATGTAATGCTTATAATTTCCATATCGTTTATAAAGTTTTTTCCAGGCAACTCGAGTCACTTATTTGATCACAATTGTGATTACAACGTGCTCCAAGGCCGATTAAAAAAATTATATCTTACGGATAATTTGTGATTGATGTTAATTAAGAAAAATTTAATATTAAGATAACGAGTATTTCGAAATTAAAAAATAATTAGAAAAAAGAGCGAACAAAAGAATTAGTACGAGGATATTGTAAGGCCGCGAAGAAGGAGTGTAAATTTTAGGGAAGAATTTGTCGATAAAAATACCGTCGGTCGCCATGGAAAGCTAACTGCGTAAATAATGGCACATCAGGCGCAGATACTTTATGGGATCTAGTTGGAAAAATCCATTGTATAACTCCAATAACCATAAGACATAAATCCAGCCCTGTGAACACACAGGCGCACCACTCCGGGTGCACTGACACACAGAGAATGCATGGAAAAGCGCATGGGCAGATGTAAGAGTAAAAATAAAAGTGCAGTAAGGTGCATATGTAGAAAATTGCATATATAAAAAAATGTTGAGGAATCGCGCGAATGCGGGGGTATGTTTTCATGAGAAGTAAAGAGGCACATAGAAATCTGTTGTGACAATCGTATACGTACTCGTGTACGGGCGCAAACAAAACCAGTAGGAAAGGTGGAGCCAATACGCAGGCACTATACCAGAAGAGGAATTCGTACCGTTCCCGGTTCTACTATCTCGTACTATAAATGCTGGCCATGTGTCACCCTAAGGGCGTGGGGACTGTAGGGGGTCGTGGAGAAGGGTAGGAGAGCGGGAGGCTGTGAAATCGAGCTGGAATGTACTTTGCGATCCAACACGTCTTATTTATTTATGCCAGCGGCAACAGGAAGCTGCAAATATTTTCATTTACTTTTTATCTTCATTTTTTTTCCATACGACTCCCCATAACCCGTGGAAGAATTGGGACAGTTGTCACAGTCAGATTCGCATTCGTCTGCCGACGGGATCAGTTTCGCTCGATGAATTAGCAGTGGGTCGCGCAATTGCCAATGAGAAAGGAAAACAACAATAAGCATTGCTGAATCGCGCAGCTGAAGTGTGGATGGCAATCAGTGTTGATCCGTTTGGCTACGCAGACCCGGGGGGCTTGGCTTCGGGGGTTGTAAATACAAGGGATGACTGCATAGAAGAGATAGGTACACCAGCGAGTAGATAAGCCCTGGATACGATCGGCCAAGCGTCGCGAGCTGATTGCACCGCAAACATTGACCCGGCTAATTATCACCCGTAATAACACGCCCCTCGTTGCCAGACCTCTCGTCGAAGGTGACGACGAGGTAACTATCTACTAATTGGAGCTTTAAGATTTTACCAAGACTTTCCAGACGGATGCACCTGGACCTATCGCTTACATATTCCTTATTAAAACCAGTGACTGCTATTAGTGAACTAATGAATGGATGAAAAAATATAATACAAATTTAAAAAATAAAAAAAACATGCTATTCTTAAAGGTGACAGTAATAATAATAATTTTTTAGTATATTGTGATGCTAGTATATGGACAAAATAGTTAATTCAGAATAGTTTCAAATTTTCGAGAAAAAAAAAATGGGCCCGTTCAATTTTTAACAAGGTATTCGTACAATCGTGGATTTCAAGGTGCTATCGGAGGAGTTCTCTGAAAAACATGTTGAACTGGCGGTTCCAGAGGGTAAAATAGAATCCTACGACGTAATGTCTGAGGAAATAGTGGAATCCAGTCCAGACAAACCCCGTACTTGATTGCAACCTTCCGCTTTCCCAGTTTCTACTTTTGAAGAAGCAAGCGGAAGCCTTTGCACCGTTTCACGGGTGTTCCACATTCCGGTTCTGGTTTTGATGCTGGTTCAGGTGGCTGATGCTGGTAGCGCTACATCTCAGCGATACCGCACAAAGGAAAGACACAGCTTCCAGTATGCGGGTCGTATACCAAGTCTACGTTTCTGCAAGGGATGCTTGCTTACCCAACACTCCCGGCAAGTAGTATAAGAACTGGAGTTGCCCAACTCGTTACGAACTTCATACCGAATTTAAGAATGATAATTCGACCTGATCAAAGTAAACGAAAAACGAAACTAAGAAAAATATGATTATGGCATGGAACAAAAAAGGAATATTGGAACAGCGTATTCGCGATGTATATTTATGGGTGCTTGTTGGGAGAAACGTATTCTGTACCAATTGAATCCCATACAAAATCGTGAATCAATAATGAAAAAAAAAAATGTACGTTCGGTCGCTTTGCCAAAAATGGCAAAGTAACGAAATCAGCATTGAAAGTAGCAACGTAAAAAAGACCTTCCGACTAACGTGTATTCGTGAAGGGTTGGACAATTTATTCGCGAGCTGCCAATAAAATCGATACCTCCACCCTGACACTCCCCGAGCCCATGATCCTCTGCCACAGCGACGATCACCACCCGTGTCGAGATCGACATTAATCGCGCGATCAAAAGTCCATTCTTTCTCGCTTGCTTGCACCGTTCTTGATTTCATGATATTTTTTTTTTCAGTAAATTTTTTTATTCCGCAGTGCGACTAAAGAATGATGGAAAAATGAAGGGTTTGAAACGAGAATAGAAAAAGCAGCAGGGAGAATCGCGTTAATGGCGAAACAATACTGAATGCCTTTTTCCCTTTTCCCGATAGCACGTAAAATTTCGCTCTCTGCATACATTCGAGAGCGCGCATCCTTTTTGGAATCCGCTATTTTTCTTTGTACTGAATTATGTAAACGGGAATTTTATCGGTACCGGGGGTTTCGATTTAAATACCGTGCTTTTTTATTACTCCCTACATTTTTAAATTCATCCGTCGTAAAAATGTGAACGTGATTAATTTCAAAAAGTGTATGTATACATATACATGTATATACATACGCATATATATATATATATATTGTGACGTTATTTTATACCGTCACAAGACTCGGGAAGAGTAACTCGCGTGTTTCAATGGCGGGACGCAGTTCCGTCCCTTTTTTTGGCAACCCAGCACGATACCGGCTAAGAACTCCAGGCTCATAGACTAGCTATCGAACCTTAAGCTAATTCCAAATTGTACCTTATTTCATAAATCGCGAATACGACACCGTACCGAGTCATCACGAAATAACAAGCCACCAAAGGAGGACTTGCCAGATCTACGCCAAGGAACGTGGAGAGCTGTTGCCGATACCTGACGACTCCACCCTGGATGGACCCTGCCCGAAGTAGAGTACGGAGGGCCAATTACAAAGTACAGCG